CGGGAGAATCTGTCGCTCTTCACGTCACCGGGGAGATCTGTCGCTCTTCACGTCACCGGGAGATCTGTCGCTCTTCACGTCACCAAGGAGATCTGTCGCTCTTCACGTCACCAGGAGAGATCTGTCGCTCTTCACGTCACCAGGGAGATCTGTCGCTCTTCTCTTCATGTCACCACCGGAGATCTGTCGCTCTTCATGTCACCGGGGAGATCTGTCGCTCTTCACGTGACCGGGAGATCTGTCTCTCTTCACGTCACCGGGAGATCTGTGCTCTTCACGTCACCGCGAGATCTGTCGCTCTTCACGTCACCAAGAGATCTGTCGCTCTTCACGTCACCGGGAGATCTGTCGCTCTTCATGTCACCAGGAGATCTGTCGCTCTTCATGTCACCGGGAGATCTGTCGCTCTTCACGTCACCAAGTGATCTGTCGCTCTTCACGTCACCGGGAGATCTGTCGCTCTTCATGTCACCGGGAGATCTGTCGCTCTTCACGTCACCGGGAGATCTGTCGCTCTTCACGTCACCGGGAGATCTGTCGCTCTTCACGTCACCGGAAGATCTGTCGCTCTTCACGTCACCGGGGGATCTGTCGCTCTTCACGTCACCGGAGATCTGTCGCTCTTCACGTCACCAAGAGATCTGTCGCTCTTCACGTCACCGGGAGATCTGTCGCTCTTCATGTCACCAGGAGATCTGTCGCTCTTCATGTCACCGGGAGATCTGTCGCTCTTCACGTCACCGGGAGATCTGTCGCTCTTCACGTCACCGGGAGATCTGTTGCTCTTCACGTCACCGGAAGATCTGTCGCTCTTCACGTCACCGGGGGAGATCTGTCGCTCTTCACGTCACCGGGAGATCTGTCGCTCTTCACGTCACCGAGGAGATCTGTTTCTCTTCATGTGACCGGGAGATCTGTCGCTCTTCACGTCACCGGGAGATCTGTCGCTCTTCACGTCACCGGGAGATCTGTCGCTCTTCACGTCACTAGGAGATCTGTCGCTCTTCACGTCACCGGAGATCTGTCGCTCTTCACGTCACCGGGAGATCTGTCGCTCTTCATGTCACCAGGGAGATCTGTCGCTCTTCACATCACTAGGAGATCTGTCGCTCTTCACGTCACCGGGAGATCTGTCGCTCTTCATGTCACCGGGAGATCTGTCGCTCTTCACATCACTAGGAGATCTGTGCTCTTCACGTCACCGCGAGATCTGTCGCTCTTCACGTCACCGGGAGATCTGTCGCTCTTCACGTCACCGGGAGATCTGTCGCTCTTCATGTCACCAGGAGATCTGTCGCTCTTCACATCACTAGGAGATCTGTCGCTCTTCACGTCACCGGAGGAGATCTGTCGCTCTTCACGTCACCCGGGAGATCTGCCGCTCTTCACGTCACCGGGAGAGGGATCTGTCGCTCTTCACGTCACCGGGAGATCTGTCGCTCTTCACGTCACCGGGGATCTGTCGCTCTTCACGTCACCGGAGGGAGGTCTGTCGCTCTTCACGTCACCGGGAGATCTGCCGCTCTTCACGTCACCGGGAGATCTGTCGCTCTTCACGTCACCGGGAGATCTGTCGCTCTTCACGTCACCGGGAGATCTGTCGCTCTTCATGTCACCGGGAGATCTGTCACTCTTCATGTCACCGGGAGATCTGTCGCTCTTCACGTGACCAGGAGATCTGTCTCTCTTCATGTGTCACCGGGAGATCTGTTGCTCTTCACGTCACCGTGAGATCTGTCGCTCTTCACGTCACCAAGGAGATCTGTCGCTCTTCACGTCACCGGGAGATCTGTCGCTCTTCATGTCACCAGGAGATCTGTCGCTCTTCACGTCACCAAGTGATCTGTCGCTCTTCACGTCACCGGGAGATCTGTCGCTCTTCACGTTCACTGGGAGATCTGTCGCTCTTCACGTCACCGGAGATCTGTCGCTCTTCACGTCACCAGGAGATCTGTCGCTCTTCACGTCACCGGGAGATCTGTCGCTCTTCACGTCACCGGAAGATCTGTCGCTCTTCACGTCACCGGGGGATCTGTCGCTCTTCACGTCACCGGGAGATCTGTCGCTCTTCACGTCACTAGGAGATCTGTTTCTCTTCATGTCACCGGGAGATCTGTCGCTCTTCACGTCACCCCGGCGAGATCTGTCGCTCTTCACGTCACCGGGAGATCTGTCGCTCTTCACATCACTAGGAGATCTGTCGCTCTTCACGTCACCGGGGAGATCTGTCGCTCTTCACGTCACCGGGGAGATCTGTCGCTCTTCACGTCACCGGGAGATCTGTCGCTCTTCACGTCACTTGGGAGATCTGTCGCTCTTCACATCACTAGGAGATCTGTCGCTCTTCACGTCACCGGGAGATCTGTCGCTCTTCACGTCACCGGGGAGATCTGTCGCTCTTCACGTCACCGGAGATCTGTCGCTCTTCACGTCACCGGGGGATTTGTCGCTCTTCACGTCACCGCGGAGATCTGTCTCTCTTCTGTCACGTCACTAGGAGATCTGTTTCTCTTCATGTGACCGGGAGATCTGTCGCTCTTCACGTCACCGCAAGATCTGTCGCTCTTCACGTCACCGGGAGATCTGTCGCTCTTCACATCACTAGGAGATCTGTGCTCTTCACGTCACCGCGAGCGAGATCTGTCGCTCTTCACGTCACCCGGGAGATCTGTGCTCTTCACGTCACCGGGAGATCTGTCGCTCTTCACATCACCGGGAGATCTGTGCTCTTCACGTCACCGGGAGATCTGTGCTCTTCACGTCACCGGGGAGATCTGTCGCTCTTCACGTCACTGGGAGATCTGTCGCTCTTCACGTCACTGGGAGATCTGTCGCTCTTCACGTCACTGGGAGATCTGTCGCTCTTCACGTCACCGGGAGATCTGTCGCTCTTCACGTCACCGGGAGATCTGTCGCTCTTCACGTCACCGGGAGATCTGTCGCTCTTCACGTCACCGGAGATCTGTCGCTCTTCACGTCACCGGGAGATCTGTCGCTCTTCACGTCACCAAGAGATCTGTCGCTCTTCACGTCACCAGGAGATCTGTCGCTCTTCACGTCACCGGGAGATCTGTCGCTCTTCACGTCACCGGGAGATCTGTCGCTCTTCACGTCACCGGGAGATCTGTCGCTCTTCACGTCACCAAGAGATCTGTCGCTCTTCAAGTCACCGGGAGATCTGTCGCTCTTCATGTCACCGGGAGATCTGTCGCTCTTCATGTTATATATGAATAAGGAAACAACAAAAGTGACTGCAGAGCTCAATCTCAGTCTTTATAGGTCTCTTCAGAGCACTGAGATTGAGCTCTGCGGTCACTTTTGTTGTTTTATGGTATTTAATATGGTATTCTATTGAATTCTATTTTTTTCCACTCTTTTATTGTCTCTTCTCTTCTATTCTATTCTGTTCTATTCTGTTTCTGTTCTATTGTATTGTTTTTGTATTCGAATTTGATTCCAATTTGAATTGCGTCCAAATTTCCTTTTGTTATTTCAGATTCATTAATAATGTAATTCGGAAGTTTGGAGACATCCGAATAGCAAAAAATGTGTTCAAATTCGGAATGAAATAACTGCCCGTGTCTAGGCTCCTCCCATATCTCTCTCCTTGTGCAGGGTGACTGGTCTTGTCTCCGCCCCCTCCTGTAGTTTTCTACAGCCAGCCTGCAGTGGGTGGGGCCTTCTAGACCCCTCCCACACATTTGCTCTTTCTCCCCCTTGTGCAGAGTGCCTGGTCTTGTCTCCGCCCCCTCCTGTAGTTTTCTGTAGTGGGTGGGGTCTTCTGGGCTCCTCCCACAGCTCTGCTCTCTGCACTGGCTATGTACAGCCCAGTGATGGTGTCACTACTTCTTTTACAAGGTAATATCTGGGTTTGGAAAGGCATTTCGCACACAATCTGGCTACTGAGGAATATATTTAAATAAACGTTTGTTTGTCTGGAGTTCAGTTTTAACATTTGGATTCTTTCTTTGTAGGAATATTCGGATTGGTGGTCAGTGGGCGGGACAACCAATAGCTGCTACTGCATTGTACCGCTGATGGGGCCCCACTCATCACAGACACCCCACACTGGAGCCCAGAATATAATTCGAATGATAAGGTATCCATGGGAACCCCTCGATATTCCCTGTGTACTGGGGGACCGCCTGTTCTGGGGTTCAGCTCCTCCCGTTCACTTTCCTCCTTTTTGACCTCAAAAATCTTCCAGCCGGCCTTTGCAGAGCGCCGAGTCCCAGTACAGGACCACCATGCCACCTGCACTACCCCCCGGTCCTTAGGAGCCGATACAGCGGCACATTGTGTCCCTATTAGAGGGGCCCCGGAGAGCGTTCCTCCGAGCTCAGATCTATTCATGGCACAGGAACAAGTCCCGCCCTCCCCCTTCCATTCCTTCTATTATATTCCCAGCTGTGATTACTTCTATATTTATCCGACATTGTGTGCGACGCCCACGCCTTCCTCCACGGGACCCGCATCGCCCTGCCGCACCGATGCATGCAGGCGGACGAGGCTTTGTTACCTTTATATATATACACTATATTTACCAGATGTATTGACCCCGCCACCCATATCATGTGATTCAGGTGTTCCAATCCCCTCCCATCATGTGATTCAGGTGTTCCGATCCCCTCCATATCATGTGATTCAGGTGTTCCGATCCCCTCCATATCATGTCATTCAGGTGTTCCAATCCCCTCCATATCATGTCATTCAGGTGTTCCGATCCCCTCCAAATCATGCCTCCATATCATGTGATTCAGGTGTTCCGATCCCCTCCATATCATGTCATTCAGGTGTTCCGATCCCCTCCATATCATGTCATTCAGGTGTTCCGATCCCGTCCATATCATGTGATTCAGGTGTTCCAATCCCCTCCATATCATGTCATTCAGGTGTTCCAATCCCCTCCATATCATGTCATTCAGGTGTTCCGATCCCGTCCATATCATGTGATTCAGGTGTTCCAATCCCCTCCATATCATGTCATTCAGCTGTTCCAATCCCCTCCCAATCATGTGATTCAGGTGTGTTCCAATCCCCTCCATATCATGTGATTCAGGTGCTCCAATCCCCTCCATATCATGTGATTCAGGTGTTCCGATCCCCTCCATATCATGTGATTTAGGTGTTCCGATCCCCTCCATATCATGTGATTCAGGTGTTCCGATCCCCTCCATATCATGTGATTCAGGTGTTCCCGAATCCCCTCCATATCATGTGATTCAGGTGTTCCAATCCCCTCCCAATCATGTGATTTAGGTGCTCCAATCCCCTCCCAATCATGTGATTCAGGTGTTTCAATCCCCTCCATATCATGTGATTCAGGTGTTCCAATCCCCTCCCAATCATGTGATTCAGGTGTTCCAATCCCCTCCCAATCATGTGATTCAGGGGTTCCAATCCCCTCCATATCATGTGATTCAGGTGTTCTAATCCCCTCCATATCATGTGATTCAGGTGTTCCAATCCCCTCCCAATCATGTGATTCAGGTGCTCCAATCCCCTATCAATCATGTGATTCAGGTGTTCCAATCCCCTCCATATCATGTGATTCAGGTGTTCCAATCCCCTCCCAATCATGTGATTCAGGTGCTCCAATCCCCTCCCAATCATGTGATTCAGGTGTTCCAATCCCCTCCATATCATGTGATTCAGGTGTTCCAATCCCCTCCCAATCATGTGATTCAGGTGTTCCAATCCCCCCATATCATGTGATTCAGGTGTTCCAATCCCCTCCATATCATGTGATTCAGGTGTTCCAATCCCCTCCAATCATGTGATTCAGGTGTTCCAATCCCCTCCCAATCATGTGATTCAGGTGTTCCAATCCCCTCCATGGACACAGGTGTATACAATCAAGCCCCTAGACATGCAGACGGCTTCTACAAACATTGGTGAAAGAATGGGTCGCTCTCAGGAGCTCAGTGACTCCAAGCGTGGTCCCGTGATAGGTGGCCACCTGGGCAATAAGTCCATCCGTGACATTTCCTGGCTACTAAATATTCCACGCTCAACTGTTAGTGGGATTATAACAAAGTGGAAGCCACTGGGAACGGGCAGAATTTCGATCCATGTGGGGGCAGGTTGGTTGCACTTCAGTACAACCAGTCTGTTGGGTTTTTGGTTCGATCTCTGCAGGCGGCTCTGGCAGGCGGCGGTGATCATTCTCAATGCTGGGAAAGCTGCAGCTTAACTCTTCCTGGGAATTTAAAAGATACAAATGTAACCTTTTTCATTCTAACTGTAATCTAAAAGCATGAAAAGATACACATCAGGACGTTATGTATGTAAAGGAAATGTATCAGCAAATTTATGTACAACGGTAGAAATAATAAAACACACGCCAGGCGCCATCATAGAAACTCCACTCAGCTTCAGCACCACGGACAGCTCCGCCCTCACTGCAATGAATGGCCGCACTGAGCTGTCTGCAGCCACCCAGAACACATCAACAGATCGCCGATTTCCTGGACCAGAGGCTGCCGCCCAGCTCTGTCTTCATTTCAATATCTACATGTCCTAAATGTCAGAGGATGCAGCAGGGGCTGATCTGTGTCAGACATTTGTGAACACCGCCAATCACTCCACAAGCACCAGGATTTACATGACTGTCATCTCTGAGCCGATGTCTCAGTCCAGGAAGTAGACGGTGACCCCAGATGATGCCTGAATAGAGATAGTGCCGTCCTTCTGGAGAGAAAAGCAGATGAAGGCATAGTCAGGGAGTGTCCTGTGGTCTCTTTGAGAGGGAATACATACCTGGGAGGCTACATAGAGACATTACTGGACATTCTGCACTTCATATGTTCTGCTCGGGTGCGCTCTATATATGAAGGATTGAGGATTCACCTACTTAACATATTGGGCCCAATACTTACTATATACAGCCTTCCCATCAGTCTACCCAGGTGTACCGGCTCCTCCCCTTCAGTCTACCCAGGTGTACCGGCTCCTCCCCTTCAGTCTACCCAGGTGTACCGGCTCCTCCCCTTCAGTCTTGCACAGGTGTACCGGCTCCTCCCATTCAGTCTTGCACAGGTGTACCGGCTCCTCCCCTTCAGCCTTGCACAGGTGTACCAGCTCCTCCCCCTTCAGTCTTGCACAGGTGTACCAGCTCCTCCCCTTCAGCCTTGCACAGGTGTACCGGCTCCTCCCCTTAAGTCTTGCACAGGTGTACCGGCTCCTCCCCTTCAGTCTTGCACAAGTGTACCGGCTCCTCCCCTTCAGTCTTGCACAGTTGTACTGGCTCCTCCCCTTCAGTCTTGGACAGGTTTATCGGCTCCTCCCCTTCAGTCTTGCACAGGTGTACCGGCTCCTCCCCTTCAGTCTTGGAAAGGTGTATCGGCTCCTCCCCTTCAGTCTTGGACAGGTGTATCAGCTCCTCCCCTTCAGTCTTGAACAGGTGTATCGGCTCCTCCCCTTCAGTCTTGGACAGGTGTATCGGCTCCTCCCCTTCAGTCTTGCACAGGTGTACCGCTCCTCCCCCCTTCAGCCTTCCCCCGGCTCCTCCCCTTCAGTCCACAGGTGTACCGGCTCCTCCCCTTCAGTCTTGCACAGGTGTATCGGCTCCTCCCCTTCAGTCTAAGGCTCCACCCCTTTCATCTTTGCACAGGTTATCGGCTCCTCCCCTTCAGTCTTGCACAGGTGTACCGGCTCCTCCCCTTCAGTCTTGCACAGGTGTACCGGCTCCCCCTCTTCAGTCTTGCACAGGTGTACCGGCTCCTCCCCTTCAGTCTTGCACAGGTGTACCCGCTCCTCCCATTCAGTCTTGCACAGGTGTACCGGCTCCACCCCTTCAGTCTTGCACAGGTGTACCGGCTCCTCCCCTTCAGTCTTGCACAGGTGTACCGGCTCCTCCCCTTCAGTCTTGCACAGGTGTACCGGCTCCTCCCCTTCAGTCTTGCACAGGTGTACCGGCTCCTCCCCCCCATCACTTGCACAGGCCGGCTCCTCCCCTTCAGCCTTGCACAGGTGTACTGGCTCCTGTCCTGGCCGGAAATGGCTTCCTCTGAGGCCGCGGCTGGGATGTTTTCAGGAACGTATGTACAGCCCCCTGCTGGCCCCTCCCACTAGCCATGATCTGCCTGCATCGCATAGAGAAGCACAGAGCATGTGTTAAGCTGAGAGTTTGATCGTTACTTTAATTATATCAATACATTCACTGTATATGTTTCATATATATATATATACACACAGAGTAGATATACAGTATATATATATATATACTGTATATACGCACTATATTATTATTATACAGGATTTATATGGCGCCAACAGTTTGCTCAGCGCTGTACAATATAATGGGAGACAATACAGTAACAATACAATACACGAGGGGTGCGAGGGCCCTGATCCTGGGAGCTTACAATCTAGGAGGGAGGGGAGAGTGGTACAGGAGGAAGTGGCTGTGGGGGATGGAGTGGTAGGAGGAGTGCAGGAGATCGGCTGTTAGGTGAGGGGGGGTAGGCTTCCCTGAAGAGATGGGTTTTCAGGGTGCGCCTGAAGGTGAGGAGGGTAGGAGACAGTCTGATGGATTGGGGTAGGGAGTTCCAGAGGATGGGGGAAACCCTGGAGAAGTCCTGGAGACGGGCATGGGGGAGGAGGAGACCAGGGAACTGGAGAGTAGGAGGTCTTGTGAGGAGTGAAGAGTACGGATTGGGTGGTATTTGGGTATCAGGTCGGTGAGGTAGTTTGGGGCGGAGTTATGAATGGCTTTGTATGTCAATGTTAATATTTTGAATTTAATGCGTTGGGCAATCGGAAGCCAGTGGAGGGATTGGCCAGAGGGGGGTGGAGGACACTGAGTGGAGGCCAGTGGAGGGATTGGCAGAGGGGGGTGGAGGGCACTGAATGGAGGCCAGTGGAGGGGTGGAGGACACTGAATGGAGGCCAGTGGAGGGATTGGCAGAGGGGGGTGGAGGACACTGAGTGGAGGCCAGTGGAGGGGTGGAGAGGACACTGAATGGAGGCCAGTGGAGGGATTGGCAGAGGGGGGGTGGAGGACACTGAGTGGAGACCAGTGGAGGGGTGGAAGACACTGAATGGAGGCCAGTGGAGGGATTGGCAGAGAGGGGTGGAGGACACTGAATGGAGGCCAGTGGAGGGATTGGCAGAGGGGGTGGAGGACACTGAATGGAGGTCAGTGAAGGGATTGGCAGAGGGGGGTGGAGGCCAGTGGAGGGATTGGCAGAGAGGGGTGGAGGACACTGAGTGGAGGCCAGTGAAGGGGTGGAGGATTGGCAGAGGGGGGGGGGGGGGTGGAGGACACTGAGTGTAGGCCAGTGGAGGGATTGGCAGAGGGGGGTGGAGGACACTGGGTGGAGGCCAGTGGAGGGATTGGCAGAGAGGGGTGGAGGACACTGAATGGAGGCCAGTGAAGGGATTGGCAGAGGGGGGTGGAGGACACTGAGTGGAGGCCAGTGGAGGGATTGGCAGAGAGGGGTGAGGACACTGAGTGGAGGCCAGTGAAGGGATTGGCAGAGGGGGGGGGGTGGTGGAGGACACTGAGTGTAGGCCAGTGGAGGGATTGGCAGAGAGGGGTGGAGGACACTGAGTGGAGGCCAGTGAAGGGATTGGCGGGGGGGGGTGGAGGACACTGAGTGGAGGCCAGTGGAGGGATTGGCAGAGGGGGGTGGAGGACACTGAGTGGAGGCCAGTGGAGGGATTGGCAGAGGGGGGTGGAGGACACTGAATGGAGGCCAGTGAAGGGATTGGCAGAGGGGGGTGGAGGACACTGAGTGGAGGCCAGTGGAGGGATTGGCAGAGAGGGGTGGAGGACACTGAGTGGAGGCCAGTGAAGGGATTGGCAGAGAGGGGGGGGGGTGGAGGACACTGAGTGGAGGCCAGTGGAGGGATTGGCAGAGGGGGGTGGAGGACACTGAGTGGAGGCCAGTGGAGGGTGGAGGACACTGAGTGGAGGCCAGTGGAGGGATTGGCAGAGGGGGGGTGGAGGACACTGAGTGGAGGCCACTGGAGGGATTGGCAGAGGGGGGGTGGAGGACACTGAATGGAGGTCAGTGGAGGGATTGGCAGAGAGGTGGTGGAGGACACTGAGTGGAGGCCAGTGGAGGGATTGGCAGAGAGGGGGGTGGAGGACACTGAATGGAGGCCAGTGGAGGGATTGACATAGGGGGGTGGAGGACACTGAATGGAGGCCTGTGGAGGGAATGACAGAGGGGGGGTGGCAGAAGCGGAGCGGTTGGTGAGGTGGATGAGTCTGGCCACTGAGTTCAGGATAGACTGAAGCGGGGATAGTCTGTGATGAGGGAGGCCGGTGAGGAGGGAGTTGCAGTAGTCCAGACGTGAGATAATAAGGGAGTGAACGAGTAGTTTAGTGGTGTCTGGGTGAGGACGGACGTATTTTGAGATGTTACGGAGGTGGAGTCTGCATGAGTCTTCCAGCGATTGGACATGAGGTTGGAAGGACAGGTTTGAGTCCAGGGTGACACCCAGGACTTTGGCGTGTGGGGAGGGATTGATGGTGGCGTTGTTGGTCATGATGGAGAGGATGGGTGGGGGTGGGGTCCCGACTGGGGGGAAAATCAGGAGCTCGGTTTTGGAAAGGTTCAATTTGAGGAAGTGGAGTGACATCCAGTCTGATATGTCACTCAGTAGGTGGGTAATACGAACGGAGACCGAGGGGGTGAGGTGGGGGGCGGTAGACTGAGGGGTGAGGTGGGGGGTGCAGAGATAGATTTGTGTGTCGTCGGCATAGAGGTGGTAGTTGAAGCCGTGAGAGTGTATGAGTTGGCCAAGGGAGGAGGTGTAGATGGAGAAGAGAAGGGGCCCGAGGACAGAGCCTTGAGGGACCCCAACAGTGAGGGGGAGGTGGTAGCATTATAGGTAACACTGAAAGAGCGTTGTGACAGGTAGGATGAGAGCCAGGAGAGGGCGGAGTCTCTGAGGCCGAGGGAGTGGAGTCTTTTGAGGAGGAGGGGGTGGTGGACTGTGTGGAAGGCCGTTGGAGAGGTCAAGGAGTAGGAGCACTGAATAGTGGCCATTAGCTTTGGCGGTTAGCAGGTCGTTGGAGAGTTTGAGTAGGGCAGTTTCGGTGGAGTGTAGGGCGGTTTTCGGTGGAGTGTAGGGCGGTTTTTGGTGGAGTGTAGGGCAGTTTCGGTGGAGTGTAGGGCGGTTTTGTCGGTGGAGTGTAGGTTGGTTTTCGGTGGAGTGTAGAGCAGTTTCGGTGGAGTGTAGGGGGATGGAAGGTTGTATTGTAGGGAAGCTCAGGCGAGGGGGAGGTTGTTGTCGGTGAGGGAGGAGCTCAGGCGATTGTAGGGGACGGAGGAGGTTGTTGTCGGTGAGGGAGGAGCTCAGGCGATTGTAGGGGACGGAGGATGGTCGTAGGGGATGGAGGAGGTTGTTGTCGGTGAGGGAGGAGCTCAGGCGATTGTAGGGGATGGAGGAGGTTGTTGTCGGTGAGGGAGGAGCTCAGGGCGATTGTAGGGGACGGAGGAGGTTGTTGTCGGTGAGGGAGGAGCTCAGGCGATTGTAGGGGGTTGTTGTCGGTGGAGGAGGGCGATTGTTTTGTCGGTGAGGGAGGAGCTCAGGCGATTGTAGGGGACGGAGGAGGTTGTTGTCGGTGAGGGAGGAGCTCAGGCGATTGTAGGGGACGGAGGAGGTTTGTTGTCGGTGAGGGAGGAGCTCAGGCGATTGTAGGGGACGGAGGAGGTTGTTGTCGGTGAGGAGGAGCTCAGGCGATTGCAGGGGACGGAGGAGGTTGTTGTCGGTGAGGGAGGAGCTCAGGCGATTGCAGGGGACGGAGGAGGTTGTTGTCGGTGAGGGAGGAGCTCAGGCGATTGTAGGGGACGGAGGAGGTCGTTGTCGGTGAGGGAGGAGCTCAGGCGATTGCAGGGGACGGAGGAGGTTGTTGTCGGTGAGGGAGGAGCTCAGGCGATTGTAGGGGACGGAGGAGGTTGTTGTCGGTGAGGGAGGAGCTCAGGCGATTGCAGGCTGTATATATGGTGTGTATACATATTTATTTATATACTGTATTTGAATCCAGACAAGAGTTTGCAGAACACCTTTGAAGTTGAAGTGGCCGTAAAACCCTCCATATCCCTAGTTCAGTGACACAAATCCTTCTACATACGTTGTACCTGTTTATCTGCAGTCTTCTCTTCTCTACAGCCATTCAAAGTCCAGAATGTATACAGCTTGATTGAGAATTCAGAAAAAAAGGGGGCAGAAAGCAGAAGTTACACACTGCAGAGCTCAGTGAGGAGAGTTCTGAGAGCTGATTGGAGGAAAGGGAAACACACACCCCCTCTACACAGCACACAGGAACAGAGCTGAGGCTGTCAATCACAGGCTGTGTGCTGGAGCTCCCTCCCCTGTCACCTTTTTTATCTCTTGGTGTCAGGAAAACTTGTCAGAAGTAAATCATGCTGATAGCAGAGGAAGGAGGCAGCAGGGAGAAATGACACTCAGTGCTCTGGACTGAGATAAGGTACACACTATAGAGGGATGTGACTTTATTTTTTCATGTTGGATAGAGTAAGGGAAGGTTATAGCCCGTCAGATGATCTTTTGCCTTCTGTGTCCCATTGGGGAGATTTCCTTTCACTTCTGGTCTCATAGCCAAACAGGAAGTGGGAGGAAATCCCTGCAAATTAAGGGGTCCCCGAGACCACCCGAACCAGTGTCCCTATTGGCAGATTTCCCCTCTATTACTTCTCTGGGGACAACCCAAAATTAGGGGTTTTCTTTTAATTTTGATGATAAAGGTAAACAGGACAACTATAGAGGGGGATCTCTCCTGACTGGGGGGCACAGACAGCACTGACAGGGGGTCTACTCCCTCCCCTCCCCCTCTACGAAACAGAAAAAGAAAAAATGTTGCCTTTCGTTATATTTTTCATTCAATAGACAGAACCTGCAAAGTGACAACACAAAGTAGCGACATTGGAGGCGTGACAAGCCTGACGCGGGTGTACAGGAGAGGCTGCTTTATATTGTTACTTTGTATCTCCTGTGTCATCCATACGGATCCCGTCATCAATGTCTGGCCTTCCTATGTAGAGGAGGTGCAGGTGGCCCTCTCCTTACACTGGCACACAACTATGGTCCAGCTTCCTATAGGCTGTGTCTGTCTATAATGATGTTGTGTCTGGGCCCCTCCGTGTGTATGCATTGTCCGGGCCCCTCCGTGTGTATGCATTGTCCGGGCCCCTCCGTGTGTATGCATTTGTCCGGGCCCCTCCATGTGTATGCATTGTCCGGGCCCCTCCATGTGTGTATGCATTGTCCGGGCCCCTCCGTGTGTATGCATTGTCCGGGGCCCCTCTATATGGATGCATTTTCTGGGCCCATCTCCATGTGTATGCATTGTCCGGGCCCCTCCATTTGTATGCATGTCCGGGCCCCTCCATATGTATGCATTGTCCGGGCCCCTCCGTGTGTATGCATTGTCCGGGCCCCTCTATATGGATGCATTTCTGGGCCCCTCCGTGTGTATGCATTGTCTGGGCCCCTCCGTGTGTATGCATTTTCCGGGCCCCTCCGTGTGTATGCATTGTCTGGGCCCCTACATGTGTATGCATTGTCTGGGCCCCTCCGTGTGTATGCATTGTCCGGGCCCCTCCGTGTGTATGCATTGTCCGGGCCCCCTCCGTGTGTATGCATTGTCCGGTAAGCCCCTAAGCCGTGTGTATAGCATTGTCTGGGCCCCTCCGTGTGTATGCATTGTCCGGGCCCCTCCGTGTGTATGCATTGTCTGGGCCCCTCCGTGTGTATGCATTGTCCGGGCCCCTCCGTGTGTATGCATTGTCCGGGCCCCCCCCATGTGTATGCATTGTCTGGGCCCCTCCGTGTGTATGCATTGTCCGGGCCCCTACATGTGTATGCATTGTCTGGGCCCCTCCGTGTGTATGCATTGTCCGGGCCCCTCCGTGTGTATGCATTGTCCGGGCCCCTCCATGTGTATGCATTGTCCGGGCCCCTCCGTGTGTATGCATTGTCTGGGCCCCTACATGTGTATGCATTGTCCGGGCCCCTCCATGTGTATGCATTGTCCGGGCCCCTCCATGTGTATGCATTGTCCGGGCCCCTCTATATGGATGCATTGCCCGGGCCCCTCCATGCTCGCAGCTCTCTATGTTCAGGCTGGGTATTGATGAGATTGATGTCCTGTAATGATGACCCCCCCCCCCCCGACATCAGATGGGAGATGAAGTGTGAATGGGGCCCCCGTGTTGTCCTGGGAGTGACGTTGGTGGTGATGAGAACGAGGAAGATCCTACAATACAAAGGATGAGAATCCGGAACACAACTCCATATAAGGAGCCGGCTTCCTCCATCGCTGGGAG